GCAAGGGCAACTGTTTTGTACCATTTGACCTTCGCGGAGTAGTTTAGTAATTTACGTCCATTTTTATGTACCAATAGCGTTTTTAAAGTACTTCAAAATTTGTCGAAATACGTTAGCGTATACCTAGTCAGGTCATAAATTCTGTCACATGTTTAATACAAAATAATTGAAACAAGTTTATTCATTATGTAACCATTTATATACCAAAATGAACTTAACAAAACAGATTCTTATGACACTAAAGATTATTCAAAATGACCCCCGTGATTTTGAATGCAGGCTTTCAATCTGCGCGGCCAGTTGTCTATCGCAGCACGAACGAGGTCCATGTCAATATCGGCGGCTGCCTTAATCAAGGATGTCTTGAGTGACTCCAAATTGGGATGAGGCTTTTAGGCACGCCTTTTCCTCCAAGTGTTGCCATATCTTGTAATCTAACGGATTCAAATCTGGACTGGAGGAGGGCCAGTCTTCGTGCCGGATGAAGTCGATTTCACGCGCCGCCAGCCAGTCTTGTGAGCTCTTCGCTCTATGAGCTGGCGCCGAATCTTGTTGGAATACCCAGTGCCTGTTATTGAACATGGTATGAGAAACAGGTTCCACAAGGTTCGTCAGGACTGTATTTTGATACACAACTGCATTCGTTTTTACACCTTTCTCACAAAAATGTACATCTGTTAAGCACCAATAAGAAACTCCCAACCATACCATGAGCGAGGATGGAAAATGACCTCGTTGAACACGCGGAATACGGTTGCCCGCTTCTTCACTACTGTGTGCGTACTCCTTATCATTTTGTTTGTTGTAGCTCTCTTCTACGGTAAAAATTTTTTCATCTGGAAAAAGAATATTTTTTTCCCGCGTACCGCTTCAACAAAGCGCGGCATCTCTTCAGTCTCAGGTCCATTAGACGAGCATTCAAACGATGTCCTGTTTTTCTTCGATATGCCCGAAGCCCTAAGTCTTCATTTAACACCCTTTTCACCGTGGTTCTGCTTAACCCCATCTGAAGGGTCAACAGTTTCTGCTTACGTTTGGGATTTCTTTGAATTCGCGCCTTCACAGCTTTTATCACTGCTGGAGTCCTAACAGACCGAAGGCGACCACTTCTTGACCTGTCATCTACACTAGAGTCTTCATTATATCGTTTGATGGTACGATAAACGAATCTTTTGATTATATTCAAATTTTTCAGTATGTCAAAAATTTGAATTGGCGCGTAACCGCAACGATGCAACGCAATAACTGCAACACGGTCTTCTTTAAGCGTCCACTCCATATTTAAAAATGAGTAAAATTCTAAAAAGTATACATTTTTATTTTCATGAACAATTCGAAATTCGAATTCAATAAACTTTTTTGTGGCCAGCATTCTAAAAGAAAAGTTTTTACTGTGTGACAACACTTATGACCTGACTGTGTATAATAAAATTCAGTGTATTTTAAGCATCCGCGTAGTGGCTGGCAAGTCTAGCAAGAGCTTGTTATTGCAATTTTTTAGAGGTAAACGGACTGATTGTTGACTGAATGAGTCAAAGATCTTTGTCGTAAATATTGTATTTGTAAGTTACCTATTTTTAGTAACCACTAAAATTAGTCACAACAACAAGTAACCGTTCGGCCAAAGAAGTAGTTGAAGATGTTGTCTAATGTTTATTTATTTATATTTATAACCTGTTTTAAATCTGTCCAGTCGATATATTTTGACATCGATTCTCGATTCACTGATCGTGGGCCGTCAATGGTTCATGAAGTTTGACGTGTGCCAATCTATTCATGCTAAATTTTACGGTGTGTAATACCCATAGGCACCTACCTGTGTACTTTTAGAATACTTTAGGACCCATTTAACTTATATTGTAAGGTATTTTTTGTACACGAGGAACTATACCAATAAAACGAGCATAAAAAACTTAATACAACATTTATTCTACACTCTTTACACGCAAAATAGGCGCCTTGACGTCGAGTTGCGGACACCAGCCCGTTACTCCAAGTACCAAGTACACTCTTTACAAGTTATTATGATACACTTAATCTACGGTAACTATCTATGGTAACTACCTTCTAAGTTTGACTATGGACACTGAGTGTCCGGAGATGACGCGCGCACGCGCATATCGGCAGTGTTTGTTACAAAATCCATAATTTCCTAAAGAAGTAAAGCTAGTTTTATTAGATTATATAAATTGTGCAATTGTATTTATAATAGAAATTTTGATATACAAAGGTGTACCTACCTACTAGACCAGCCCCCGTAGCATGGCGACGTATGATAGTCGCGACGCGCGCGATAAAATTGGAATGAGCGCGCGCTATTGTCTGTCTTAATCAAATCTAATTTAGATATCGTTGCGACTATCATGCGTAGCCATGCTACGGGGGCAGTAGTTGATATACTAATAACTTTACAAAATTAATAATAAGGCAAATTAGGGGATGAAAATGATTTGTCGAACTTCAGTCACTTCGGTTAAACGAGACAGACGAGAGGAACTCTTCAACAGTATATAGTAGCTACCTCATGTTTGGGCTTATACGATTCGTTTTGACGAGAATTCGTTTCTACATGCGTTTTAATTGTCGTTGAGTAGGCCGCGTTTTAGTTACTATTGCTGAGACTCCGGCAAAAGTTTTGAAGTCGGTTTTTTTAATAAAAGTTATAATTATCGCCTTGCTGTATGATTCCTGTGGCAACTTATAGTACTTATAAATCTTGTGATCCTTCCAGATACGGAATTAGATTAACAAATGGACATTGCAATATTTTTTATGTGTACGTCTTACATATATAACTTACAATACAAAGTGAAGTTAAAATTATACAAAGAGTATTATTAAAAATAAATAAAGCTCATACTAAACCTAAAATTAAAATTGTACTGACCACCGATATCATTTTCTTATGTACTTTAAAAGTTTTTTTTTTCAATTACTTTTTGCATTCGTTATAACTTCATATCACTTGAATTTTAAGCGTCTATTATCATAATGAAATTCTAGATAAAAGTAGAAACAAAAAATGCACTCAACGCACTCAAATCTTAGAGCGTTTACACACGGCGATGCAGTTGCTAGTTGTCTACTTTTACACACACGCGCAACTTAAGCAGCAATACAATCTCGATGCAATAGCAATGCAAACGCGGTGTACGTTTTTGGTGATTCAACATAAGCGCCAGCATCGATGCTGCTATAAATCGCAAGAGTTGCGATGCAAATGCGCGTTTCACAAAAAAATTGCCGTGTGTAACCGCTCTTACAACAGTTATCGTATCGATTTCTCAAAAATTAAACAATTCAATCAAAGACATACTACACACATCGAGTACATAACCAGAAATAGAGACAAAATAAGGGTCATCCATCCCTGGAAACTCATCAGACAAATGGGCCTTATATCACTTTTAAATGTCAACTCTCGTTTGCGCTGAAATCACAAATTAGAAAGCTGAAATAGTACAGCGCCAACAACTGTCCTGTGTGTACGTCTCCGTATATTTCAAAAATATTCTGTATTTATTGTAATAAAGATAATATCTCTAACTATGAGGGGCTTTCCATTCGATGATGTGGGAAAAGCAACAAAATATGTAATTACAAAACAAACAGAATCATATTTCATCGGTAATCAAATATTAAATATGTAATTTTTCAATTTTCGTCTATTATAGCAAAGCTCAACTTAAATTGGTCGATTTGAAGTGAAACAATTAAAGACACCCGTCAATTGTTTCGAATTTGGGCTGGCCATTTGGAGCGCAGTTGACATCGTAGTGATTTGGCAGAATAGTTTTGAAAGAAATTAAGTGACATTTCGTCTCTATTTCTGGTTATATATGCGATGCCTACACGTCGTCGTGAAATTACATTTTCTTAATAAATTTACATAATTTGGAAGTGTCAATGAACCTTAGCATTAAAAACAATTGAAGATCGGTGCCTCTACCATGAGTTTACTGTGACAACTGTCGCTAGCGACCGCGTGTATTACTTCACAATTTTGTTTGGTAAATTATACTACATCCCTGGCGGTCACAGGAAGAAACAACATTTTGTATACAAATATTTTACGCGGTCTTTAGTGAGAACTTTCACTGTAATTTCGTGGTTGAGGCACTAACTGCAAATGAACTATTTCAATCTTGATTTATTTACTAGGCATGGTCTGTACAGTCATCAAGTTCAGTGAGCCTAATACAATAGACCATACAATAAAGCCACATGTGATCATACGTCAAAAGTGCTTTTATCACATGAAAGTCATAAAAATAATACGAACTACATGAAACAAATGTATTAAGTGTAAATGTATATATTATTGTAATTATGTAGCTTGTATTTAACAAGTCCCATGTGCCTCTAATTTTAATAGCACCCTTACCCTTCAAAACCGGAATGAATGCAGCAATTGAAACAGGTAAGGTGGCAGTACTTTCCTGGACGAACTCTTTCACAAGGAGCTGTACTGTTATAAAACAAGTTCAAGCTTCAAAGTTGTCATTTTGAAGATGTAGCCTTATTACATCAAGAGTGCCGATTTTTTTTCAATCTTTACATGAACTTTTCAATGTAGTTACTTATCAATACTACCTGTCAATATTAACAATTCATTTTACTGACGTGTAATGAATTGAAATGCACTTGCAATTATTGAATTTTTTTTTATAGAAACATACGTAAAAAGAAAGTTCAGATGTGGCTTTATTTCACCAAGGGTGCGTCTGAATTGGTATATACATATGTAGGTACTGTCGTACGAATCAAGCCAAATAAGGACCTTTGTGGACCTAATGGATATCTCAATATATCCATTGCTATCATTGACTTACAAATAAATGGACGACGGGTCTAATACAAAAACCACGAAAAAAATGTCCCAAGTCAACGTAAACGTAGTGACATGTAAAGGAATATGAAAAAGCTAAAACGTTGAATTTAAATTGTAATGTCATCGCAGTACTGTCTAATTTTGCTTGCTTCGCTGTCAGTCGAACAAACGAAGACTAAAGCGTGAATGACGCTCTGTATACGATTTTAACGCCCTATAAGTTCTGACACTTTTTAGCGCGGACCCGACGTCCATATAATTGTAAGTCAATGTTTGCTATACATAATAAACACTGATAAAAACAGTCAGGTCAAACAAGCAGTGACAAACGCACAAAACTACAGACCATCAGTCTGTTCTTACTTCACAAATGAAGAAAGTTTCGAATGAACATGGGGAATCGTTCCACTTTAACCCTTTGTCGTCTCTATTCCAGAGTTCAAGGCAGTTTTCTTCTTCACCGTTCTCATATCGGAAGTTGTTAGGTTCCCCTGCATTCCAGTTGACGAATGTAAGGGGTCTGCCGTTCGCCATCCAGAAGAAGTTGCCTTCTTCTGCTAGATCGGTGCCTGATGTCCAGAAATGTTCACGACCGTATCCTGGAATAGAATATTCAATCTATGTTATCTATGAATCTTGTTTTGGCTCGGTTGAAATGTATTTTTAAAATATTATTGATGCAAAGATCGAAGCTACACAATAAATATTCCTTCTATCCGATTGGACTACGTGTAGCCACGTTGAGGCGACAGATGCTGGTGGCAGTCGGATTGAAAGAATTTTTCTTTGTGTTTGTTCGATATTTATATCAATAAACAAAAAACAAACTATAGTGCAGTATTATTACAAAAAATAGATGAATAACATGGTAGTAAATACATGCATAATGTTAAAAAGAAATATGTTAAAGATGGAATCATTTAATTAATTAATTAATTCATTTATCGTCAGTTGTGCAAATATTCCTTAGTTTCACTATTTTATTGATTAATAGAAGTACTGCACAAGTAGGGTTCACTTAAACAAGTTTCATTACGACTCACTGTAGTAGCTAGTAATGTCGTCACTCTTTTCGTTGAAGGTTTTAACAAAAGTTATGTAGCCCTGCGGCACGGAATTTCGCGTTCTAAGGTTCAAAGGATTTAGAAGAGGTTTCAAGGGATTGATTCTTTCAGTAGAAGGTCTGGTTCTGGAAGGAAAAGATGTACAGTGCACAGAAATGATCGATTCCTTGTGAAAATGTTACAAAGACCTTAAAATCACCTACAAAAAGTGAGAATACTGAAAGGACGACTTATCGAAGCAGGTATACGTTCTGCAAAAACCTGCTAGAGGGCCAAAATTACTCCGTGGACATCTACATAACTTTTGTTACGTATGATCATCAACAATAGGCACGGCACTTATCATTTAAGGAAAAGGGTGAATTATGGCCTACATAATCCACCACACGTGCCCGATATGATGATTGAGGACTTCAGACGTTTTCCAAAAGACGCGAAACTTTTAATCACTATATTTTAATTCACTTGAAAGGAGAGGTATTGCTAGTAAACGTTCATAACATAGAAATTGAAGCCAATGTGTAGTTTCCATCAGCGAAGTAATAAAAGCTCGATAAAAAATTGAAGATGGCGTCGCGTCTGTAGCTAGCACGAAGCGTCGCCATCGCGGGCCGAATAATTGTGATTATTTTCATTATAATTGTGAGTTAAAGAAGTAAATCCTTAACCAATATTGTGTATAAAGTGCGTGTCTTGAGAACCGGATGAACTCAGTGGTGACAAGTGACAACAGTCTATGACGGTCCTGTACACTGGCTGATCTGGGGTCAGAACTTGAACTTAAAAGATTCCTGTGCACGCACAGGTTATAGTGCCCTTCTCGCATACCCTAGCGAACGGTATAATCAAAAATTATGTAGAAAGTTACAGGGGCTAAATCCTACAGTGTATCAAATACGTTTTTAAGGAATATACATTTTCGTTAAGTTAGTATTTCTGTCGGAGATTTCGTATGTTATTCGGAAGTACTGTTTTTTCATAGTGTTGACTGTCAACCGTGACCATGGGACCTGTAAAGGGCCCGAAACGTCGGTTTGTTTGAAAAACCAAATATACGCGATTTAAAATCGGAAAAATAGTTTCATTTTCTAAGCTTTTCATTGTTTGTTAAATAAAAATTTGTTTTGTCGTTATATTCTGTCCTTATTTTTCAGTAAACTCATTTTAACGCAGTTAGTATTAAAGTTAACAAAGTTCACAGCAATTTAATTTCTTTATTATTTCCCGAACTATCAACTTCTCCATTGAGAAGCAGAGGTTCTCCCACTAGACGATCGCCGCTCTTTTAAATTTAAAATATAACTCAACTACATTTCAAAGATAAACATTCTGAACTTAATTTTAAAGACGCTAATTTTTTTTCCACAATTTCCCTATAGTAAAAGTTGTTCTTGGTGATTGACCTCGCGGATTTATTAGCTAGTTTATTTTTTCAACATTACAAATTTCATACAAATACAATTACATGTCATTTTATACTACTATCGAAAAGTGAGCGTCAATTTACAATTTATATAATAGTGATTCTTAAGTACACAATAGTGTACATATACAAAATCAACATAATTAATTAAACTAATAAATTGAATGAAACTAACAATGTCAAGTGTATATAGGAAATGTCAATATAAATTCTTAATAACTAATAAATGTTTATTACAGTATATTAATACGGTGAATGTCAAATTCATTAATAAATATAATAATTTAATTATTTATTAAGTACTTTGAGTGGGTTTTGACGTTTAGGGACCAGTTCTTCATTTGCCTTTTTCTGCTTACAACCTGTTCTGTATTCGACCACTTCTTGATAAGGCTAGTTCTCTTAAAGACCATTTCTGCTTTTGACCACTTCCTTATTTGACTACCTTGGTTACGGTGTGCAAGAAAACTCAAGACTTAATTTACTATGAAATTAAAACCAAACATTGTCTACTTTCATGAAACTTAAAAACAATTAATATTTTAACAAAAATACAAAAAAAACATATCCATACAATATTATAGGTAGGTATCGTTCACTTAAAACTGTAATAATACACTACTAAGGAGTTCCAGTGTTCGTTCTATGATATAAAGTAATCTTTTTGGAGAGCTGGCCACTTAGAAAAGTTGATTAGATGCATAGATTAATGTTAAAACAAATTGTCTGTATGTTGTCATTGTCTGTTTTGTTTACGTGTTGTGGGTTTTCATTCATTGGAATTTTATAACAACTGAATATTATTTAATAAGCAATGGAAGAAGGATTCACATTTACTGAAAATAAAAGAGGACAGGAAACTTTACTGCAAGGTAAATACAGGTACAATTTAAGTGTGACTAATGCAAACGGAACGTCTCGATGGAGGTGCGTAAAGCGTGATGAGTGTTCTACAACTCTTGCATTAAATAAAGAAAGAACTATGGTTCTAAGACCGCCAAACCATACCTGTTCTTCACGAAAAATAGAAAATATTATATTATTAACATTAAATGCATGTAAAGCGGAGGTTTGCCACAATTTCGAACCAGTTCAAAGAATTTACGAAAAACACTTTGAAAAACTAAAGGAAGAATGTTCATCTGACGAGCTAAAGTATGTGCCATCGTTTTCATCGGTAAAAGATAGTATGTTTGCAAAACGGAAGAATTTTTTGAATTCCTCTCTGTTGAACTTTAAAAAAATTGAAGAAGTCGTAGTTCCAGAAGGACTAGGAAAACATTTTTTTAATTGTGCTGATGGAGAACAGGAAAAAATTATAATTTTCTGTTCAAAAACGTCGAGGAATTTATTGAAAAAGACAATAGACGGCATAACATTTTTTGGTGACGGCACATTCCGTTGCGTCCCTTGTCAATTTTACCAATTGTACACATTACATGTGGATTTATTTTCCAATGAGAATACCACAAATGTTATCCCTGCCGTTTTCACTTTGTTACCAAATAAAAGCGAGCAAACCTATGTTCGATTTTTTTCTTTAGTCAAGGATAAGTTGGGTATAATCATGAACAATTTTAAATGTGATTTTGAAATAGCTACAATAAATGCTGTACAAACCGTATACCCCAATTGTCAAGTAACAACATGCTTTTATCATTATAATAAAAATATTTGGAAAAAAGCGAAAACATTAAAATTGACTGGCTCCAAGGAAGGACGTAATTTTACTAGAAAGGTAGCTTTGTTGCCGTTATTGCCATATAATCGAATTTCGGAGACATGGTTTTCTATTAGCAATTCTGTGCCAGACACAAATGAACTTAAGTTATTTAAAAAATATTTTGAAGAACAATGGATGAAGCTCAACCCAAAAATTTTAAGTTGTAGTACTGAACGCCACCGTACCACAAATCCTGTTGAAGGATGGCACAGACGTATAAACGCAAGGATACCACGGAAGCCCACATTCTTTGCATTTGTAGCTTATTTAAGAAAGGAAGCAAAATATTATGATTTTAAAATAAAATGAAAGTTTATTTTTAACAATGAAAAAAAATCGAAGGAATATTGATATAAAATTTGATAAGGATTTAAAATTATTGTTGCAAAAATTAGAACAAAATGAAATGACAAGCATAGAATTTTTGAAGAAAGTTATTTATCGGAAGCTACGTTATTAGAGCCATAACGCGAAACAGTCCCCCTTGAGCCAAGGTATAAGATAGGGTTTTAAGTGAATTCTAGTATGTAAGATTTAAACATGGAACAAGTGAATTGTTATTATTTATTGTTTATTAAGTTTAATAAAACATACATTTTTAATTGGATGTTTGTTTTAATTTCATAGTAAATTAAGTCTTGAGTTTTCTTGCACACCGTAACCAAGGTAGTCAAATAAGGAAGTGGTCAAAAGCAGAAATGGTGTTTAAGAGAACTAGCCTTATCAAGAAGTGGTCGAATACAGAACAGGTTGTAAGCAGAAAAAGGCAAATGAAGAACTGGTCCCTAAACGTCAAAACGTTTGAGTGTACTCTGTTACTGAGTAAAGAGACTTTTCCAAAAAAAGGTTCTTCCGTCTGCACCTGAACGTTTCCTTACAACGTTCGTTTTTTAGTTCGGCAGGTAGGTGATCATAGTAGGTCGGTCCTATAACTGGTACTGATCGGAGTTCTCCTGCACGACGGAGGCAAGGGACTTACCTTCTATGATAAATAGCAAATGATGCCGTTATCCTTTGTTACACAGCATATTGGCTAACTTACAAGTGATATAGAACTATTCACCAAATAAGTTGAGCGATCGCTGCTTTATCTACAAAATAGTAATCAGTATGAACGTAAAAAACAACTCGGCTTGTCTGCTTGCAAGAAACGAAGCATTATAGTTTATAACGAGGGTTCAATATAACTCTTTGATGTTTAAAGTTTGAAGTCGTAACGACACCAATTATCAAGAGCAATAAAGAAACTTGGAGAAACGGAAGTCAACATTCATTGGAGTTTTAATTATTGTACAAGATTAACTAACTACACAATGCCCGTTATCAAGTAGGGCATCAAAAACATAAAAAAAACTTAGTAACGCGCTGCGTGACGTCCAGTAACGGCTGAATGGTTAAAGCCTTTTTTTAAGAACTACTTGGTTATATCTTAAATTTCAACTTTAAAAAAATCCGACCTCAAAAGTTTGTGGAATTACATCTATTTGGCAAGTTTTATTGAAATTGGTTGATAGAAAGCGGGTGAAATCCAATAAATCGGATTGATCTCCTAATTTGCCACGCTTAGAATATTTTCTTAGAATGACTACCGCGCCCGTCACCCTGAGACTTAAGTTGACAAGTCCCATGTGCCTGTAATTTCAGTAGCACCCATACGCTTCAAAACAGGAACGCAGTAATGCTGACATTACTGCTTGACTGCAGAAATAGGTAAGGTTGCAGTACTTTGCTGGAAGAACTCTTTCATAATCAGCTCTACTGCTATTTAATAAGAATGGGATCACTGGAGTATCTCACCCCTTTCCAGCAACAAAAAGAATCGGTTCACAAATGCCGAAGTAATCGCGTAAAATACACTAATATACAAAAATATTTCAAGCAAGTGTAAAGTACTTTAAGTACGCTAAGATAGGAGAGAGATAGGTAAGTAGATTTATGCAGTATTTTTCTAAAGTAATAAATACACGTTGTACTCATTAGAGCCTATACACACAGCGAATTTTTTACGCGCAGACGACGCGCGGTTCGTGAACACTCGTCATAGAGCTGTCGTCGTAGACACTAAATTTGTGAGCGCATCTGCTACTGAATCTCGTTTGAATCGCTTTAATACGCTTTATTTGCGCGTCGTTTACGCGTTACGTGGCCCAATGGTACGCACTGTAACAATTCTGGAAACGTATAGTTCTAAACTGGTTTTAACTCAAACTCAAATTCAAACAATGTTTATTTCCACTTGAAATCGTCATATTAATTAAACTCGACTATTAATTCGCAAGGCAGATTCCCCCGAGAAGTATGAGTAACAAACTCTAAGTGTTGCTCTTTGTAAATAAATAATTTTTATATTTTTATCATTTACAATATTTATTTTATTACAAATCGATCGAGATAACCTGCAAGAGTTAAATCACTACCAGCGATTTTTTTCATATTATTCTGTTCAGACAACTACAACAAGGATCTAGCACATTATTGTTATACTACTCCTATGAGTAGTATAATTATTTGTATACTTGAAACTTAAAAAAAATTTCGAATCAGGTTAGGGCGCGTTCCCACTATGTCGTAACGTTTTATTTATCGTTGGACGATTGTCGCGTCTAGACTGCTCCGATGTCACGACTATCTGTCGTTATTGGGTCGTGGACGTTTATTTCATCGTTGTACGACTGTCCTGTCCAGCTCTTCTCATTGTCACGACAGTCGTTCGTCGTAACGTCAAAACAGTCGTGAACGACAGTTAATCGTGTTGTTCTATGTGTGAACAACTTCATTTAAATATGAAGTTGTTCACACATAGAACCACGATAATTATACGTATACAGCCACGACAATTTTAACAGCACGACTATCTGTCGTCAGGACACAATGGGAACGAACGTTTACCCTACGTCGTCGGCAGGTAAGCACGAAAATGGAATTAGACTAGATCAGAGGCTCCCAAACTTTATGTTTCGTAAACCACTTGCCATTTTTTGCTGTTTTGTGTAGACATTTTGCTTTTCTAATATGGTTTTTTAACAAATCCATCAACTTTAAATGATATTTAGACAGCTGATACAGTTTTACTCACTTTGATAAACTTAGCAGCTGTATAGTGAGAAACTATAAAAAACACATAAATGTTGTATACATTTTCACGACTTTCGTGGTCGAGTGGGTTGCACACCGATTTTCATTGTATTGCATTTCTAAGGCCCCGGGTCCGATTCCCGGCTGAGTCAATGTAGAAAAACTAGCTTTTCTATATAGTCTCGGGTTTGGATATTTTTGGTACCGTTTCGTTGTTTCCGATTTCCATAACACAAGTGCTTTAGTTACGTATTTTGGAATCAGAGTAACATATGTGGTGTTGTTTAACATTTATTTATTTAACTAACCGAATATAGATAGCTCTACATCTAGTTTGCTGTGAAATGTTTACTTCATAGGCTATTTATAAGTCTGTTATAAGAATATATTATATATGTACTTGTGTACATACTATCTACTATTCTATATTATGTATTTACTATCCATGTAATGTGTAAACGTAAACGAGTTCAATTCCCGCGGTCTATATATTTTTCTCGCTAACATGAACCCCTAGTAGGTTGGAGTGGACACCTGGAGGTCGATATAGATAACTTTGGGAATCCTCGGACTAGACTGTTATTCAAATTATGCCAACCTGAATCTTTGACGTATTTCTCGAGTTCGTCATTCTCTTTCTGTGAGGAGATGGAGGCGAGGTGCATTCCGTGGAATCGGCAGTACTGTTGCGCCTTAAACCAGTTAGCCTGTAAAGAATATAAATGGAAATTGTTTAGTGGGTTTTGTTAATAAAAAATTAAATAAAAAAAAGTATCGAGTGTTTAGGTTTTTGTATTTGATACACTATTTTTTCTGATCTAATTCGCGTACTGCTCATTAACATGTTTTATTTTTATTGTAATTATGTACTTTTTAATTGTTAAAGTTAATTTAGTAAAAATCCATATTATTAAAATAAAAAATCTTGCAAATCATATATGTATGGTGTAAATTGAAGGGTTCTTTGATAAATTAAAAATTAAGTATTCAATGTTCGAAACTATTTCAGAATAGGGTGATTTGCATTAATATTACATAACTTGTTCATGATTTTACCATCTCAGTCAGACGTGACAATGGGGCGGATGGTTAGTTAGAAACATAAATATACACGATATATAATATATCGCAATATGTCGTATATATAGATACGAAAAAATAGTTTAATTTCCAAATAAAAATTAATTGATTAAGAAATATTGCCATCGTAATTAAGCGTAAATAACATCGTTTACAGATTGCGTCTTTTCTGTAGATGAAAAGGTAGAAGTCTCATCTTATACTATTTCGTACCGTTTTGTATATATCACCTACAATTTATGGTAGGAGTTGTATTAAGTGTCTGCACTAGCTCTAATAAAACTGTTATTCAACTATAAATATACCTAATTTAAAACTATAATATGGTATTAGCGATTTTTTTGTGATAAATGACAGAACAAACAAGACGTGCGCCTATTGGGAAGTCAGTTGTAGTGCCATTCAGAGCTTTAAATCTCAAAGATCTGAGCATTGCCACTGTGCCCGTCACCCTGAGACATAAGTTGACAAGAGCCATGTGCATGTAATTTCACCAGCACCCTTACCTTTCCAGACCGGAACGCAATAATGCTTACATTACTGCTTTGCGGCAGAAATAGGCAAGGTGGCAGTACTTCCCTGAACGAACACTTTTACGAGGAGCTCTACTGGTAGAACTACTTAAGTGTAGGTAGGTATCATTATACTAAGGACAGTTGCTTCAGCTGTAACAAACAGAAGTCCGGTCGTGCATTGAGTACTGCTGCCACTTTTTGGATAGCTCTGCTACATACCAACTGGTCACCTTGGATTCAATTGATAGGTTTGCCAAGAGGCTTATAGGTGACTCGGAATTAGTAGGAGGCGAAGCTGCATAGCCTTGAACACCGCCATAAGTTGCCTGCTTATCGGTATTCTATAGGATACATCACGGAGAGTGGGCGATGGAATTACACGATTGAATTCCGCCTTCCCTTTTGCATCATTGGGGGACTAGACGTAGGCTTAGTTTCCAGCACTATGTTGTAAATATCCAGGGATCCGCACGAAGCGTTACGCTTACACATTTATACGTTGAATTTATATGTTGAACGGCTATGGAGTGGAATTCGCTGTCTGCATTTTTATTCCCTGTACGCTATAACTTGGGCCTTTTCTAGGCGTGAGTGAATAGGCATTATTTAAGTGTACATGCTCCAACGTCGACCTCATTGTCACTTTCCATCAGGTGAGGCAGAAGTCAAATGCGCACTTACGTTTTTTTTATAAAAAAACAAGTAATAATTATTTTTATCAAATTTGTATGAAATAAATATATAATTGTAAGTACTCAGAAACAGTGTATGTTATTGTAGGTTTTATGTACCACTACTTAAAGTGTCCTAAATAGATTAAGGTGCCGAGCTTACGAAAAGAGTAGTAAGTCTATATGTATTTCAAACATAAAGTTAATGTACTATTTCAAACATAAAGTATGTACTAACTACGTATACGCAATTACTTTCAATGAAACAGCAAATAAACGATTCGAAGACGTTGGTCGATTCTTAACAATCATCTTTATGTGTCCACCTACCTACAGCAGTAAAAAGGAAGGACGTCTGTATTTAGATTTCAATCTCACTCTCAAACAAAGCAAGAAACAAAACAATGCAATGGCAACTGTACCCCGCAGCGTAGAAATGAATAGCTCCCGGACTAACTTTGTCGATAGTCGACGTAGATATATTTAAAGGTGCACTTTCGAAAAAAGAAAAAGTTGCTTTGTTTTACCGATAAACTATTGTTGTTTACTTAGGTAGTAGAAAAATATCGTCGGGCTAATACAAATCCGGGTATGTGGTATTGGTAGAAGGTGCGAATCTGCAGTAAACCAAATTTTATGGAAGAGGGATTTAACGTTATTACTTTGTTATTTCTGTATCTACGACTTTCATTTTTGCACAGTAAGCATTATATTATGTTGCCTACGAACTGATAACAATAGATTCCCGTAAATCACGCTAATTGGGTTGTCATGACATTTACGCGGATTTGATTAAGCCACTAAATTACCGAAATGGAAACTCTTAATAAAATGCTAGTGACGCGTAATTACACTATCCCAGACGATATGTACTCTTTTTATTAAAAGGCTTTCTAAAAATATTGTCAGACAGACATGACAGTCGAATATGGAAGCACTGGCTAAAGCCGACGGAAGGTGGTTGACTCGTAGATCGCTACAGTAGATATTATTATTGTCTTGTGCGTGTAGTTTCAAAGGCAGACTAACATTAGTTAACAAGTGTTTGTTTATCTAACAAATGACATGAATTTATTTATATATGAAATAATAGATTATTATTATTAATCTGCACTTTACTCACTCATGTTTATGATAAAAATTGAGTAGTACAATTAAAACAAATAGTGATTTTGTGTTAGTATTTTCTTATTATTATTTTTATTATTATTTAGTTTGCTCAGTAACTAGAAAGCACATTCGATAAAAAACAGTTATTAAAATTTGAAAATTATATCCTTGTCTGCAAAATAGAGGTGTACATAAAAAAAACAAGAACTACACTAATAAATTTTAAGTAACAAGCTTGGTTAGTGCGATCAGTTGATTAAACATAAAAGCAGTCCTATAAAAGTTCTGTAACAGCTGTATAACAACCGGCTATAGACCTACTTTCGCCGTCGGCATTGATCGAGATTAGTTGCCAATGTTGGCTATTAGTTGTTGAAGCTGGCCATTAGTCATCGCGATGGAACACCTGTTTCGCAGGTACTATTCAGCTGTAAATGAGTTGTAATAATTGCCACAAACAATGGTAATCAGTTTCTCCATCGTTTCTACATCGTGTGCCTAATTATTGGTGAAGTCAATGAGACTATCGGATTGTTTTGTTTGTCGTTGTCGGCGTCATATTAAGTTAATGTTTTTAGATTGGAGATTGACAGATATAAACAAAAAAAAAAAACAACAAAATGCTACCGCTAGCAATATCGTGGCATATGTTTACGTACCCGAGACGTATCTAAAACGTGTCAAATGTTAATTTTTTAAAAGTTACAAATCGGATCGTTTTTCCAAAGATTTTACTCCTTATTTATTTAGTTTCCTCACAGTTTGCTAATTTCAGAAAAAATTAAAGAGACAAAACTATGAATCAGCCGGATAGTTATCAGATAATTGACATGGTAATTACCGGATAATTATCAGACCATTATCATGATTTGATAATTTTAAAGAAAATTATTATCTTGATAATTTCGAACTCCGTTTTAAATTCAAATAGTGTTGATATGCTAATAATGTATGATGTATATGCCAGTAATTACTTTAGTGTTAATGCACTGATATGTACAGCGAGATGAATCAAAATGATGATATATAATTTGCCTAGTTAGTAGGACATCCAGACAAGTTAGAACTCACATTGTGTAATTTGAATGATCGTCGATTGAATCATTCTTCAACATCTATAAAAGGCGTTAACTTGTAAACATTTTGGTTTGATTAACTTCGAACACTTTGTACGGAATTTAATGATTTCTTATTGAGAGGAATTCGTTGGCGTTCGGCGGCTTTTAAATTACCATCAAGTCAATAAACTTTACAATGTAATGTACCAAACAAGGTAATGTCATCAAAACGTTTACATATTTAATTACTACATTAAATCATGATTGCTACAACGCGATGTTGACAGAACAACTTAAGTTGCTACGAAACAAAAGACAGACTAATTGTCTTGCGAATACCATAATCACCATCACAGATGTTTGTCTAGCGTTACAATTTTTGTTACTAAATACACTGTTGTGTTCATACCGCCGTTTTGAAGCAATGCAACATATTATTTTGTTTGGTGCTTACTTAAATCTTTAATATCCATTATGTTACAGTTGGCTCGTAATTACATTCGTAGTTAACGACTGCAAAATGTAGAACAATAAGAAATCAGCACAGAGTACTAAAAAAACCGATCTCAAAAGTTCATGGAATAACATCTATTCGCCAAGTTTTATTGAAATCGGTTACAGGAAAGTGCGCGAAACCGGATTCTTCCCCTAGTTTGCCACCTTTAGAGGTGGAATATTTTCTTTAAAGTTGTATGGGACCAATACCTACAGAGGAACCCTCTTCCAACAAAAAAAAGAATCATCAAAATCGATTCATAAATGTCACATCTCAAAACACAGTCAAATTGAGAACCTGCTCCTTTTTGGAAGTCGGTCGGTTAATAAATATTTGATTGCTACTTGTAAAAAAAGTCGTGGCAGCCTAATACATAGTTTGACCTGCCGCTCGCATCTCTCAGTTTCTCGGAATTTACGTGCGAAATTTAATTTGAAATTTGTCATGAGCTTTTCGTTGAAAGGAAACATCGTGAAGATACCTGCACGTTGAAGAAGGTTCACATCTACCGAAAACGTGTGAACTCCCCGATCCCAAGGCCTAAACCCTCGCCTGAAAGGAGACCCGTGCCAGTAGTCCCGTACTAGGGTAACCCTGTGTCGCGGGTGTCATGGACACACACATAGAAAACCACAAATTACACTCAAACTCACTAGAGAAATATATGTAGGCCGTACAAATATTTCTCCCAGCCCGGGAATTGAACCTGGGACCTCGGTGTGCCAGTACGGCATGGTAATCGTTCGGTAACGGAGGCAGTAATTAAATATTGTTAAG